ATAAAACCAGTTTAACCCGAAACCCACTAGTTCATACACACCACATATGACTATGTGTAGTAAGTGTGCAAAATTAAATTTAATTTTTAGTTATCTTTGCTACCATAATTATTGATTTCTGGTAATCTTTAATTCAAAGTATAAACTTAACAAATTGAATGTAATGCAATTTAGCAATTAACCTTGAGTTTGTTGATTGAATGTGAGTACTTACAGAGATGCATAGATGTGTTTGTGTCATTTTCTGATGGGTAGTGAAATATGCTGTGAGGACTATACGCACTGTACTTACTTAAACTTAGGACCTCCTAGTATGGACTAGCATGGTGATGGTAAATTAAAAGTTTGTTTCAGACTTTGATCAGGTGCTATCACTTTCAGGTGCCTCCAAACTCTCTCATCAGTCTTATGGTTGAATATCATTACTGGTATGTAAAATTGCTATAATTTTTAATTGCACAGAAACAGAAAATTAATTAAAGTTCGAATTTTGAACAACAAACACGGTCTCTGAAGAGCTTTTGTCTCGCATGGAATCATTTACTATTGTTTATTTATAGAAATGCATTGTGCATGTTGAAGGTTGTTTTAGCTTTTATAAGTCATGCTTGTAATAAATTAATTTTTGGATGCAGTTGGACCATTAAGCTCTGCTCAATCAGAGAAATGGTAATTAATGTAACATGGTAAATTGCTAATGGTTATTCCACAAGGAGGGCAGGTGTTGCACTTCATATACATTGCTTTTTCATTGGTCTGCAATGCAGTAGAACTGTATTTCATTTCATCCATTTATTGCATGCTGTGCAAACTGGAAAATGCTTTAGAGATGCCAGAAGAAATAAGCATGCATGGATAATTGTAATCTAAAGATAGACACACTTCTTAAAAAACTTGATTGTTGAACTTGTATTGGTAGTATGGCCATTGCCTTTTGTCAAAGTGAATGGGGTAAAGTGAAGTCTCACTTGACATTTTCAAATTTATATCAGCTGGAAAACTGTAGCATCTATTGTTTAAATGCTAGATGGATTTTTTCTAAGTTTATAAGACATTATTTCACTTTCTGAAGACATATGGTAGCAATCACATCCATCTCAGTGTGAATGATGCTTTTTGTGTTGGGTGGCTCATTATTTTTTGTTGAGCTCTCTCAAATTCATTTAAACTGTCAGCCTTCAACAATAATTTCCTGTTTTTTAAGTTGAAAGAAGACATTGTTTAGAGTTATCATAGTAAGGATGATTCATTTGCTCGTGTCGTAAGCCGACAATGTTATCTTAGACCCCTGAACTTTCTCTTCACAAGGGATCTCACCATTGTCCACCAGGGCTAGAGATGAAGCCTGGTGGTCTAGTTGTATCTGGACCTGATGCACAGAAAATTCTTACTCCAATTTGTCTCTTGTTTTTACTGAATGAACCCATGCAGTGAGTATTGGTGGAAGTATTTGACATGTAACCTTTGCACACAACAGAAGTACTTGTGCTCCAGCCTTATAATACCTAGTCCATCCTTCAGAAAATAAGAGTTTAAATTTTTACCTTTTACCTTATAGTATTCTTGTGAAGTTGTAAATATAAGTTAACTTGAGTGCAAATTTTATTTTTGTTCATAATTGCTCTTGGTGACAAGGTATTTACATTATATTCACACAAATGCTAGGTATTTTTATGACCCCAAAAAAACCCAACTAAAAATGATAATGTGATGACATGTATTTTTTGACATTTTTGGTGTATTTACTTATCATGGGGGTATTTTTTCTCGCTTTTATATGAATAAATCGACACAAAAATGACATACATATATTTACACTTAACAGCATACATGGATTATGATGAATGATAGTATATATATTTTCATAATAGAAAATGGATTTTCAGGCTGAGTGCTTCTGAATGGCTAGCACATGGTCTTTGTGGCGAGGTATTTAAGTTATGTTTTGACGGATTGGTGTCAAGTTCTTGGCTTTTTTTATGTCTGTGCCCTATCCCCAGCCTAGGAGCCGTGTAAAAACACTGACGCTTCACATTCCCTATTCTATTGGATGAGAAAGGAGAAATTACTGAAATGTCAGCCAACTCTTCTCTCTGTACTATGCTCCAGAATCTGTAAGGCGAAACTTTTATGTATTTTTATATTATTTTTTTAATCAACGGTTATAATGTGATGCGAGAACATAAATTTTTTACACAACTTTCAATTTTCTTGATACAATAAGCTGGCACTTTTTGGGGGAAGGAAACTGGATATTCTTTAAGGAAATTGATGGTGAGACGTGGTGGAATTAAGGCGAACATCAGTCTGTAATTATTTACGTTTTAATAAACAAGGACCCCAATCTGTAGTGTAATAATTCTAAACACTTCTGCTGTTATTGCCTGCACGTGAAACTTGAGTTTTACCAAGTCTCCCATTTTTCTGCAAAATTTTTTTGGATGAAAAGATTTTTTGTGGCAGATACTTTTTTTTTCGGAAAGGAATTTTGAGAGGATCTTTATCATCTGGGAGTTTTCCTGCAAAATTTCAAGACTGTGTGTACATATGTACAGTATTATATCTTATCATTGAGAAGTCTGCAATAAAGTGTGTGATAAAGTGATATTTTTTCTCCCCTCTTGAGGAAAGAAGGGATACACGGCCAGGATAACTTGGATAAGCTTATAACAATGTCTCAGAGCTACTTGGTGTTACAAAATCCGGGTAGTGAGATTGGAGAGGAGGTAAGTGTCAGAATTTCTTTAAAAAAAACATATCTCAGACTTTGATTAGCCTAGGTGTTTGATGTAAATGAATCTGACTTATTCATCTTGTATGCATTTTATATGTGGTATTGGGTGAAGTTTTAAGATGATCGAAGATTATGCAACATGAAAAATGTGGTTTCCTCATTTACATGAATGGTGTTATAATCATAATATTTTAAGCTCCAGGAGTGATAATTATGTAAAATATGTGAAGGGATAATCTTTTAGGAAGTGTGAAATCTTGTGTTCAGAATGCATAGATCATAAAGCATGGGGAGTTATATTTCAGGGAAAGAATTCTGAGGTTTACTGCTGTAGTGCAAGGCTGCAGTACATGTTCATTGTAATGGAGAAGAATATACACATGTATTTCTTGATCTCCATATCAGTTTGCAGTATAGGGTCAGATAATATTTCAGGGAGAGATTTTCCATTGTTATTTACAGTAACACATGGTTATAAATTTAAGAAAAAAATTATGACTGCATGTTGTGGTTGTTTTAAGTACTGCACCTTTTGAAGAAAGTGATACTTGCTCAGCTGCACAGGTGTATTTCAGTTGTGAAGTACAGGTTACTGAGGTACTTCTATTATGTTGAAAAGCCTGTAAATAAATCAGTCCTACGGTCTTAACTAATTTAAATTTACAAATTAATCAAAGAAAAAAATTAATGACTATGCATCCATACCAAAATTTTCAGAGGATTTACAGCTACCATAGATTTTTAGTTTATTGATACTTTTAATTAAGTAAACTAAAGAATTAGTGGTATTGCACTCATTTTAAATGTTGAAGCTGAAAATATGAGTTTTGGGCTCAAACCATTGCAGTATGTTCATGCCATTTGAACAGGATTCTCTAAACAAAATGAACAAACTTTTGGGGCTTGTTATAACTTCCCAAGATAAACATGACAAAAATCAATGTATTAATAAATGCTTATGAAATAAATGATAATGTATCTTGTGTATTTTATGGAAATGTCATGATGAATTATTCAGTCTAGTAGGATGATCATTTAGACAGGTGTAGGATGTAAAGATTACATCAGTTTATTTTTTTTCAAGGGGGGGTGTTGGGGTTGGTCTTGTATTTCTTATCAATTGTTGAAATTATTAGCCTTATATCAATTTAGAAAGCAGGTGCTTAATAGTGACTATCTGATGTCTATGATAATTCATTTTACAAAAATAAACATTGAAGTGGTTTATTGAAGTGGTTTTTTTTCATTTTGCAAAATATTTCATTTGTAAAACTTCCAGTTACATGGTCAGATGTAAACAATTTTGTTGAGAATGAAATTAATTTATAAAAATTAATGTAAAGTTTTAGAATTTAAAAAAAAATGCACCTTCTTAAAAGAAAGAATTTCTTTTTAAACTATTTCAAAGGAAACTCTTCTTAGTACTTGTTGGACCCCTATTTCTAAGAAAGTTTCTATAAATATTCCAAGATAAGGACCCCCTGCTCATATAAATTACATAGTAATTTATCCTAAACACCTGGGTGTTGGTAATGGAATGGAGAAGACTCTTGGATTCCCCCTGTGTGCCTGAGTATACAAACTGCAGCATGATGGGAACTTTCTTGGCTCATATGGCATAGCAGATGATAATGAATGTTTCTTTTATCACAGCAATTAAGTGAGTCATTGGCCAAGATCATGTCCCAGGCTGATATTACCTGAAAGAAACAACTTTTTGCTATCAAGACCTCCTGACAACAAGTTCATTTCTCTGTTGACAGTTTTTCAGGGGCAGACGACACACAAGCTTTTTCCATTTTCATTGATATTCATGGCAGCATAATGTTCTATATCTGTCTTAATGTGTCTTCTGCAAAACATATTGATCAAAGATTTCTGGGCTGATTTGGATGTGATCTGTACCCACCTTTGTGTGTTAGATGATAAGGGTCACTGGTCAGAGACAAACCAATGAGGCGTAATCAGCACTTTATTGTCATGGACCATCGCAAGAGGGCAAATTAACACAGCATGAAAATTACTGGCTGATTGTTTAGAGTAAAATTGTCTATTACAGGAAACAGAATTTCAAAAAATACAAGTTGTGTTGGATGAATTTTGACATTTACTGATAGAATATTTAGGAATTAATTGGGATATTAAGTATGTTGTTTAGCAGTGATTAGTTGCATGGAGGAAATGAGCACATGACGGTGGGATAATTCAGTGATATCATTTCTGTGCTTTGTGACTGTGTGTTACAGTGTTACAGTCATCTGTGTAACATATCTGGGTTCTCATTAATGGTAAGATTTTGCTGGGTGAAGGTCTAAAGTTTGGTTAGTTTCTCATCTTGAGCCTCCTTTGTGTAAACTGACACATCTGGATTTCATGAGAGTGAAGGATAGCAGAGAGAGAAAAACCAAAACCAAATCATCAAATTATTTCAACATCAAGATTGTCTGTACTAGAAGGGCAGAGGGGCCATGTTCTAATATAAACAAAAGCTTACTACATCCTGCGTGCAAGTCAGAAGATTGGATGGCTTCCTGTTTAAAATAAGTGCATAATTAAACTATTAAAAAAGCTGGTGAAAGTCTTCTGCTACAGTGCAAGATTTTGGGAAGGTATGCTGAAAATAAACAAAAAAGTCATTCTAAGAGATTTCTGATTTCTGGAAGCTGTGCTGAAGGGAAAGTGTGCTGGAGATTAAATTTCACTGGAGGAATTTCATTGCAGTTGTGCTTGCCACTTTCTTATAGAGGAATTTTTATGGTGTGTTCCCAAATATCATTAGGCTGTGAAGAGATTTTTTTGCAAAGGGGATTTTTACTGATACACAGCAAAGATGTTTTTCTCCCCCATCACTGAGTTGTACCTGTTGAGTTAATCTTGAAGTCTTAAATTTGTTTTCCTTCAGAAAAGGGATTTTTGTGATCTTCATTAGAATTTTGTTACTGCTAAAGGGGAATGTGTTAAGAGCATTTCTTTGGAAAACATAATGTCCTCTGGAGCCAATAATACCCAAGGTGGAACTACAGGGGGTAGAGGCCCTGCCCCTCCCTTACCAGAAAAACCTCCCTCAGTGGCCGAAAGGACAAGATTGCTGAAATCAAGTTTTCGGAAGGATGATGTGGAAAAGCCTAAGATCATGGACAAACACAGCAGTCCTGTGGTAGAAAGGGCAGCGACATTGCCTCCAGCCAATATGACCAATGCCAGTACTAATGGGGAGAAGTCAGAAACCCCTTCCCCGGCCAGCAGTGTTAACTCAATGTCCAGTATTGGCAGGTATAACAATGATAAGGTGATGGACAGTAACAAGGAGACTGCACAGAATTACAATCCAGGGGGTGTAAGTATACATGTGTAAATGATAACACGTACATCAAATATCTCCCAGTACCACTAAAACAGTCATGTAGGCAAAGTAGTAGAGTTGTACTTTGTTCGTTGTAGGATTACTACAATGTTGCAAGCAATTGGATCAGAAATTTAAAAAGAAAACTTTAAAAATAGAAACATAAAAATTCTTGAAGTAGGCTCTTAAAATTTTTTGAAGTATTTTGATTGTTTTCCAGACATCAATCATTGTCTAACATACAAGGAAATTATAGGCTTTAACTGATAATGTCTTGTGACTTTGATAGTGAAAGTAGTGGTTTGTAAGTTTGTATTATGTCTCAAAGAATTGGAGTTTATCATCCAACAGGGGTATGTACATGAAAAACGATTGGTTAAAACATCGGAATAAAGAAGCATTTGTTTTTAAACTGAAAATTCAGATGCATGCCTCTGCTGTTTTAACTTGATTAGATTAGCTGGAGCATAGAGAGAGCTTTTTTGAAACTCTTGAAGAATTGCCAGCTGAGATGCACATTACTTGGGTAGTGTGATTGCAAGTGATACAGAGGAGGTTAAAGAGGTAGAGATTGTTTGAATGATAATGTGAAAAACAAGTTCAGAGGTCCCTCAATCAAGAGCTTTGATGTGATCAGGCCTCCCTTGCCAGCATCCCCTCTCAATGTTTGTAATGGCTTACTCTAAAGTGTCCTTTATCTTGGTTGATGAACTTGTTGGTTGTAAGGGGACATGTGTATCATTTAAGCGTGTATGTAGCAGCTGGTGTTGTATGACTGTGCATCAGACTGCACCTAATTGAATCATGAGATAGGTATGCCTTCTAGTTACCCACAGCCATGCACATATAGTATATTGTGTAGTGTAGGAGTTCCTGAAAAGATCAATACCAGCCCATGTTAATGGGTCATGCTTCATTAACAATAGCCCTCAGGAAGAAGTTTTAATGAGAAGATTGGTCAGTCATTAGTGTGATTTGTCCATTTTATTGGGTAATGTTGATCTGACATATGCTGGGGTTGGAATGCAGCACAGTTATAATGTCAATATTGTATTTCATGTTCAAAGCTAACAGATATAGAAGGCCTTATAGTTTGTGTGTGGTATCCCTCTGTGTCTCCGATCAATTTGACAGTAATGGGCACAGTCTATTTTTAAATCAGAAATGTCCTAGTGTTATTTCATGTATAGTACTGACAAAAGATGTCAATAGTGTTGTTCATTAATTCAGTAGTGCTGTTTTCCTGTAAAAGCATGTGTATAGCTGTTCAGAATGCTCTATTTATAACATCTCAAACGTAACTAAGTTGTTATACACTCAGGTTGTTTTTAATGTTATCATTGCCCTGCGTGATAGTAAAATATCTGCCCTGGGGCTGTTTTTAGATACACTTCTCCATTAACTATAACACACTGACTGCTTAAAAATGGAAGAAAAACCCCACAGGAAATGATTCATCCTAAAGGTCAAGGTCACTAGTTCTTTCATTTCGCTTACTACATTTGTAGGGTAACAACTGTTGGTTAAAAAAGAGTGCCTGCTTGCTTTTAGTTCCGTGTGGCAACATTTTCTATTTGGAAAGGAAGTTTACTTCATAATTAGGTGCTCATTGTGTGTGTTCTAATCAATAGAACTGGGAATGCATATTAGCAGATGTTGGAAAGATTTCTAACTACTAGAAGAATACCATGGATAAAGCAAGCATAGTAAGGAGTTTCCTTTTTTTTTCAGTTGTTCAGCTTTTAATTAAGTCAGAGATCAGAGGGTTTTGTATGGATTGTGCATTATGATCATTTCAAGTACTGGTCCATAGAAAAGGCATTAACTAAAAGATGTTACAGGGCATGAAGAGATGCCCCAGATTTGATCCATTGTTAATAAGAGTCCATTGTTGTTTTTTATCTGGGTCAGTGAAAAGGGATAATGTACACATCCAGGCAGATTAACCTTATTATGGCAAATAATTTGGTATCCTGCTGTACCATGTGTTGTAAAGAAAACAGATAAGATTTAAAATGAAAATGTGAGGATTTCCTTTGGAGCAGGAAGGTGTGGTGTATTTGACTTAGCTGTTGTTTTTAGGGAAGATATTGCATATCTAAATAAAATCTCTACATGTTTTTTTTTTTAAGTTTCAAAGTTAACTAGTATTAAACATACTTGATTAATTAACATTTTTGTTTAAAATAAATAATAATGTGTCATTATATGAGTTTTACACAGCTTCAATTTTTAAAGTCACATATTTCATTATATAACAGCTGTATGAATTATGCAGTTGTTTGATGCTTCAATACTGGACCTTTCAAAAATAGCATTTGGAGGAGGTGTTGGACTTTCATTGATGATAGTTAGGAGTTCAGTGACTTATGCTCTGTAAATGAAGTATATTTGCAGCATCTTAGTCACAGGATAACACTCATTGAAGATATTTTTTTCATTGCAGACCTATTAACAAAGACTTTTAACCCATTTATGTACAAGAGGTCTTTAAAAAAAGTTAAAATCAGGCTTTAATGATTAGATGTTGGCAAGTGCCTAGAGTATTTATGTGTTTAAGAGGATAGTGTGGGGTACTCTAGAAGGTGTTTGCTTTATGATTAAGTTTCTAAAGAGCTGTTTGCTCTTCGCGATTAACCTCAGATTCACTAGTATAAGAGGACTCAGTCAGTCTGGGTATTTTAATGTTCTTAAATGGCTTTGACCTTGGGTGAGAGGGTAAATCTTTCTAATAGTAATTAATGTGCAGGAAATATTTTTTCTAGGCTATGTGAAATGTGACTCCTGGCCTTGCTGTTAAACAATTAAGCATAGAGACTGGAAGTGTATTGAAAATTTTTGATATTTCCCTCTAGTGATGAGTCTGGCCTTGTCACAACAATACTTTATTTTCGTTAAGCAATAAGGAAATTTGTGTTTTTTTTAAAATAACTACAAGCATTGAAATTAGTAGAATAGCTTGTACATTACTTTAACATTGAAATTAAGTCACTTGAGGTTTCGTATGTAAATATTGATGTGAAATGGTAATTGTAATTGATTTTCAAAACTTGAAAACTATCATAGTTCACTTTTAGTCAGTAGTCTGATTCTTATGAACAAAGTTATATTTGATAGAATTGTGTAAACTCTTTCATTTTCAATCTTTTGCTTTATACAGTTGAATGCAGCCAAAAGGGAGGCATTCTTCAAAGGCAGTGAAAGTGGCGGACCAAAGTTTGACCCCTCACAGCGTTTCGCGGCAGACAGAGAGCGGATACCACGGGAACCACACAGTGGCCACACATTAAAAGATGCTGACGAACGAGAGAAAGACTTACACCACAGGGAAAAGAAATATGGAGACAGCACAAAAGAACTGGATGGTTATGTTGGATTTGCCAATCTTCCCAACCAAGTATACAGAAAGTCTGTTAAGCGGGGATTTGAATTCACGTTGATGGTTGTTGGTAAGTGAACAGTAGGAATTATAAGGGTTTTATGATGTTTGATAGACAAACAGTAGATTCCGGACAGACAATCATTTGCTGTGATGTTCTGTAATTTTCTCACATATTTTTGGATGTTCATAAGGTCACATCAGTAGGAATATTTGCTATCTGTCTTATATACTGTGTTGCTATTCTGGGAAACATCCACATTTTGTTCTGTTTTTTTCACGAAAGAGTATTTGTTAGTGAATATTTTTTGTACAACATTGCATAGCTTGGTTTTCGAAGTAGAGAAAAAATCAGGTCAAATGAGGGAGAAAAAGACACATTACGCCCTACATTGTTGAGATTCTGTTCATACATTTTCATTTATCCTCAAAACTTGCTTTGTATTCGGCATGTTGGAACCTTCATCTGTTCTGTCAGTGTTTTTTGAACAAAAAATATCAACAGGGTATTCATGACTGATTAAATTCCAACGTTAACAGGGGCAGAACAAAAGTCAGAGCATATGTAGAATGTCAGAATCTCCTCGCCTTGCATTTGCCTCCAAGTTTTATTCAGCAATAGTAGATGGTGTAGGCATTATGATGAAATTGGTTGCACAAAAAATTTATCAGTGCATTATTTTCTCCCCATGAGAACTAATAACACACTGCATAATTGAAATCTAAAAACTAGTAAAAAGGGCATAGTTGTTCAGACTTCATGTTTTTTCTGATATTTTTTTATTGGAGAATTATGCAATATTGGTAACATGAGGAAAATGCTGATCTTGGGAAAGACAGGATTCTGAATACATTTTTCAAGGGGGTGTGCTGTCAGATGGTTTAAACTTTTAATAACATTGGAGCATCACTCAGGGCAAAAATATGTTTCTTATGTAAACAGATAGGAAGAATAAAGAGAAGCCTCTGACTTGTGGGTTTTTTGACATTTTAGTGCTGATCCAGTCGATAAAGCAACTTGAATTTTTAACTGAAATACTGAAGAGACCAATAATGGCTGAAAAATGTTAATAAAGGTGTGAAGTTTTGTTGCTTGCAGGGAGACACAGATGGGTGACATTTCTATCACATTTGGAGGAATTATTTTGCACTAAAATCAGGACTTTTATGTTTATAATAGGTTTTTTTTATAGTCTTCTAAGCATGAAATGACACAATGTGAACAACTGAAGTTTCTGAAAAGGTGTTGAAAGCGATGTTTTTAAAAAAATTTTTTTTTTACTTTTCTACATGATTATTAATTTGTAAAAGATCTGAAGATGCAGAAACTTGGTCAAGGTTCATGCATTACTTTTCATTCTGAAAAACATGGGGACAGAAACCGTTTTTTGCAAGAAGATATTTCTCGGATTCTTTTCTTCCCTTTCATTATTGTAGAGATTTGAAAGTTAGCAAATCTTTTCACGCTGAGTTGACAAATTCCAAGGCACTTATCTTCTCTCATTAGATAGACTTGGATATTAGGGCCACATTATCTGTCAGGGCCCTGTAATCTCCTGGAATGTCATCCAAATTTATTTTCTGGTTCAGATCTTTTGATTACTTTCCCTAACTTATGTAATTATTGGTCCACTGATACAAGTATAGATATCGAGACCATATGTAAGGGTTACATCATTTATCTTGTATGAGAGGGATGGAACTATGCCATTGAAAGTGAAAAAAATTAGGACTGACATGTGACATAGAAAAATTCCTTTGCCATTGCATCCCAGCTAGTTCAAATTCTGCAGGATTGGTTATGACAACATAATAAGACAAGTTGTTTACATTTTAAAATTTTTTAGACATTACTTTTCTTTCAGAAACGTAGATTTAGTTGGATACTTGGACTAACCCTTAATAACTGTTGATTATTAAAGGCCACCCTATAATTTTGTTTACATGGAAAATTATACAAATTCTTGCTATGATGTACCTAACGGGAGGGTTGAGAATGTATATATGTTGTGAATGGAAGAGATTTAGTGTAGATTCTAGACCAGATTATGACTGGGAAACACAATGGGATGCTCTAAATAAAGATCACCTCTAGGGTATTCTGGACAAGATAAAATAGGGTGGATCACAATGATCTATTTCTATTGTTGTGATAACTCTGTCTGTCTAGCTAGGAATTAAAAAGTCCATTATATTGTGTACTAACTGTGGCTGTCTAGGAATTAAAAGTCCATTATATTGTGTTCCTAGTCCTACTGGGGCAGACTAGGAATTTTAAAAAGTACATTGAGAAAAGAAACAGTGTCAATGAAGAAAATAACATTGAACATGTTGAAAGATTCAGGTTGTGAAGTCCCAGACTAGCATCAAAATTGATTTTTTTTCCCTCACAGACCATGATGTCCCTTTATTTTCTGTGGGGAGTTTTTAGCTCGAAGGCAGGGTCACCAGTTTGTCTGCTATTGATTTTACTCTAGGTTTATAACTCCATATTGAGCTCTTTTGTACACACAGACACGTGCATTTTAGAGGCAGGCTTTATCAATCTGAGAATGGTGCAGAAAAGCATGCAGGCTTAAATCAATTTGAAAATCATTGCAGTGAAGTAGGCAGTGAGTTAAAAAGCCTCTCGTTTGCAATCCATAGAGTTCATAATCAAATAAAGTCACATATGTTATTTTGAAATATTAATGAGCTGGGTTCATTTACATCAGTTTTGTAGGGATATTTTAGAATTTTTAAAGACCATTAGAAGGATTCTAATGACATACATGTACCGTATACAAATTATGCATTTGATTTCATTGGCTATGAAGTGATTAAATGTAAATTACATTGATAATTTAACTCTTTTCTTTTCAATCTATAGGTCATTTCTTTAGTTTTTGCTTGTTTCTCATTCTTTTTAGAGCAAAGAAAAATTTGGATTGTGAATACAATATTGGACAGCCTTGAAAAATTATCATGTAGGAATTTTTGGGCTGAGTAGTGTATTAAAAGTTTATCAATTTTCAATTAAAGATCATACCGGTAATACAGTAAGTGCATGCACCCATAGGAAACTCAGAAAAGTGAATTACATTGTAAAATCTTAATTATGATGATTATAGTGGTATAGATTAACAAAAACCCAGCTGTGCTTTGTTTACAGCTGGCACATGTTAATAGTACTATGAAATCAAATAAAGATAAAATTTAAATTTCCCAAAGATTTTTTTCCCATAATAAAGCAACATTTTATATCTTTGAAAAAGAGTGGGTCATTTATAAATAAAATATTGCAGTAAATAGCAGTTTTACTGATAACACTATAGCTTAATTGTCACTGAGGGGTACATTAAGGTAAATGTCACCATTTTCTGAGGTTGAAACACCTGAAGTTTCCTGAGGACAATGTCGTGATATTGTCTACACCGCTGGAAATTTGTAATTTATTTGTTTCAGGCATAGGATTTCAAAATTAGTGGGGAGGATAATGATACGCTAGGGTTACAAAAAATTACAGCTATACTGTTTAAGTTATAGATTAATATAATAGTACCCATAATTATAGTTTTAAAGAATAAGTTACAGTATTCAGGAAAGATGATGTATATATAAAGAACAAACATGGGGTAAAAAGAGGCGTGCACACAGCAATGGTGCTGAATGTGCTCATACAGGGATTGTATTACTCAATATTGTAAAAAGTAGCACGCTGTGATAATGTTTTAATTCTCTTGACACCTGTCAGGGAGAAGTCCTGATTTCTTCCGTGTCACAAGGACCTACATTGCCTATCAAGGTTCATGTTACTGACATATATTACATTGTATTATACCAGATATATTTACATTTCAATTTCATTTACATAATATCTCAAGATTGTTTACTTTATGATGTAATTATAAAAAAAAAATGCACTCTTCAAATACATTGTAAATCATTATCATACACTGTAGATATTTACTCTTCAGCAAATTTTGGCAGTGAGGTACTATTGTAAACAGACCTCTTTTGTAATTTCATAGTATGGTTTTGCTTATCAGGCTTTTCTTTCATTAGTAGTGAATAAATCACAGGTTCTTGAATATATAAAATTTGGGAAAGGAATTTGACCTATAGTAAATAATTACAACACACATGGTACAAAGACCATGTTTCATTAAAGAAGGGTGTATTCCTTTTTCCCTCCATGATTCAGTCTTCAGCCAGAGTTTGCCAGTTGTTTTATCTTTCTCTCTTCCTTGTGGCATCTGCGATGAGTTGTGTTTAACAAATGTTAGGTGCCATGGAAACTCTTGTTGCATCTTTAGATGAGATTCCCAGATATTTCACCATCTTCCTATTTAAAAGAAGCCATGGGCTGTTAATTTTTTGTGACCCTTCAATCTTTTATCCTTGGCAGAAAAGATTGGCATTTTTTTCTGCTGTGTATTGTTTGTAAGCATTTATCTATAGCATCCATATTTATCAGTATAATTCATTAAGCACTGACAGTGAAAGTGCGAAGGAAAAGTGCATTCCAATTACAAATATAATTTAAATTGGCAAAAACATTCAGAAGAGAAGATGGAATGTTTATCATGTCAAAATTCATGCCATAATTGATTATTCATATAGAGTCTTCATATATAATTCCCCATGAATTGCTTTTATAGTTGTTTGATTATTACTGTCTAGCTTGAATATTTTTCTATGATTAGTTTTTTATACAAAGTAATGTAACTTTTAGTGTAAGCAGTGCATCTGAGAAGAGAGTTAATGTTTTGTTTGTAAATTTCAGGTGAATCGGGGCTTGGTAAGTCCACCCTCATTAATTCCCTCTTCCTGGCTGACCTGTACAGCTCAGAGTACCAGGGTCCCTCCCACAGGATACAGAAAACCGTCAAGGTAGGTATCAATGTCATAATTGACTGTGAATTACTAGGTCCTTTATACTTTTTAGCTCACATGAGTCAAAGGCTCAAGTCAGCTGTTCTGATTAAAATTTGGCTGTTGCCTGTCATCATCTCTGTCATTGCAATACAAGTTTTTTCATCTTCATACCTTCTCATTTTAGAGAATGATTGCTCTTTCAGGCTTCAATTTTTCCTCCAATACCAATTTTTTAAAAAGAATTTATGATTAAAATGATGGTAAAATACTGCAGTTTTTCAAAATTGCACTTTTCTTTCAAATTGCAAAAATAGTTTTTCTTGCACTAAATGCTGTTATTACCCTGAATGCTGTTATTGCCCTTTATCAATATCTAAATTAATATTTGGAGTCAGTGCATTCAAAGTATATGTACAGTTGCTTCAAGCTTGATTTTTCAAGGTCCTAATTTTTATTTTCACGAATATCAAATAATTTAAGTTTGCTTGATATCAAACCTACTACTGAGAAGTGAGGAGAATGAATATCAGAATTAATGTGAATTATCATTCTATATTGTAGATTTATTTATTTCTTTGATATATTTATCAGAATTCCTATTAGCCATTTATAATATGCCAATCCATTCACCCATTTATATAGTATATTTTGCTGCGATGATCATTGATATACTGCTACATATAATTTCTAAATAATTCATCATAATTATTTATAGCTTTTATCTTCATGCAGCATAAAAATGCATAGAAATGACTAATGATATGCTTTCATGGATTTTATCTTAATTTACTGTTAGCCATTTACAATAAGCCGATCCATTCACCCATTTATATAGTATATTTTGCTGCGATGATCATTGATATACTGCTACATATAATTTCTAAATAATTCATCATAATTATTTATAGCTTTTATCTTCATGCAGCATAAAAATGCATAGAAATGACTAATGATATGTTTTCATGGATTTTATCTTAATTTACAAAGAAGATAAAATCCATAAATCAGATTTCACTTACTAATTTGATTTTATTCACTGCAGGTTGAAACCACACAATGTCTTCTGAAGGAACTGTCAAAATTCTGCCATATTTCATTATTCAATAGAGCCTCATGTAAAATTCCCTATGGAGTCCAGTTAAACCTGACCATTGTAGATACACCAGGCTTTGGGGATGCTGTAGATAATAGTAACTGGTAGGTAAACTGGTATAGAGAGACAAAGTATGGTAAAACACCGTTGCAGCAAACTAAACAGCAAAGGGATATTCATACCTATAGTTTTTAAAATGCATTATGATTATGAATGAAAGAGATATGGTGATATATGTTTATGGGAAATTAGGGGTGAAACGATACGCCTCCTTCACGGTTCGATACGTATCGTAAAATTTGGTCTCGGTTCGGTTATTTTCGATACGATACATTTTGATAGAAGGAAACAGATTCAATGTTGTTTTATGCTACCTTTTACTTAATCTAGTAAAATAATTTATGTGCAAAATGGATAGAATGTATCAATTTAATTGATTTGACTGTTAAAAATTATTTTACAAACTTCAAGTCCACACAAACTTACGTTTCAGAACTAATTATACAGAAAAGCATGTTTATACCTTATGCCAAACCCGACTGAATGATGATCCCGACCGAAAAACGAACCGAACTGAAAGTAGAGATTTTGTACCGTGTATTGAACCGAGAAAAAATACCGCGGTGAACCGTTTCACTCCTATGGGAAATCAAAACGTTTTGTCTCGATATTTTGCTGTTTGAATAGTCATATTACTGTAACTTTGCCTGATGGTCAAAAAGCTTCACGAGTAAGGATTGCAAATAAAAGGTTTATGGTCCCAGTATGATCTTGGATTCTTTTGTCTCTGACTCCTGAATTTAATGTTGTTCTGTTTTTGGTTATGGGTAACCAGTGTTGAACTGACAACCCACAGTAGGGAAATATACATCATTCAATAGTTTAGAAACACTGTCAAGCATTAAAAATCACTTGCATTATTAGCTCATGGCCATAGGGAAGGATTTGATATGCAGAGACACAACACAAGGCAATATTTCATTATAGAGAAATGATTTTCCTGTTGCCCATTTTTACAAATTTTTGAAGTATTAAAATTTATGAATTTTTAAAGCACTTTGTGTGATGTCCTGGTTAGCTATACCTAATAGAATTTAAAATAAATTAAGTGCCTTTTCCTTTTTTTTTTTTACTTCTTAAGTGAAACAGCCCTAAATGCAGCTTTTATCCAGACTCTAATTTCGACAAGGAAGATGAAAACAAATCAGTTTACAAGCACATTTTTCTCTTTCAATATAAAAACAGTGAGGTGCTGAAATCAGCCCTTATGATTGATTTCACCATTGTGTAGACGCTAATAATCTGAAGGTTCTGTAATATGTAGTTACACATCTATTAACACTGACCTACTTTTCTGAAGCCTCTACTTCCTCTCAAAATGATCCATATTACATCTAATAAATGGTCTTGCTTCCTTTCTGGAGATTGTTTATTTCTCTGTCTGAGGAAATCTGTTAGATTGAGGAAGATGATATGGATAAGTACAAAATGAAATAAAAATCCTGTTATTTTTCCATTTGTTACTGAATTTAAATTTAGGAGAGAAAAAAAAATTCACTTATTGTTTTGAAGAGTTCCCCTCTTCGTTTTCAATGCACAAGCATTTCTAGTCAATTTTATCTTGAAGCTGTGTGGGTTAGAGTTATTTCTAAAGATGATTGTTTTAAAAAAAAAATTTTAAGGCATTTAAGATTGTGCATTTAAAGTTCATTAAAAGCATACTCACTGCACTTGAAGATTATTTTAAGGAATATTGTTTTTATTTGCAGCTGGCAGCCAGTCATAGATTTCATAGACAGTAAATATGATGAATATTTAAATGCGGAGTCGCGAGTGGTACGATCCCCTACCCCCGATACTAGAGTTCACGCCTGTCTGTATTTTATTGCTCCCACTGGTCATGGGTAAGTACTTCTTAATTAATTATATTCATAATTTTTTAATTAATAAAATTAATTAAGATAAAAATAAATATTAAAACTTTTGGATAAAAGTATGAGATTTTTTTAATAAGGAAATTTAAGGATGGGAATTAAATGTAAAATCTGGCTATTTTTTCAGTCTCAAGCCCTTAGATGTAGAGTTTATGAAGAGGCTACATGACAAAGTGAATATAATTCCACTCATCTCTAAAGCAGACACACTTACTCCAGACGAATGCAGGGAATTTAAGAAAACTGTAAGTTAAAGTTAAATGCTGCAACAGATGATGATTCATATGAAAAATGATGTTTTTCCTCTGATATGAGGAAAAAATATTGAGTCATATTTTCTTAGCAGTGGATAAAGGTTAGAAAAAAAAGAAAGTTTCTGTTTTTAAGTTGAGAGGAAACAAAGAGCTAGTAGGAGATCATTATAGCCGTTACAAAACTTAACACGAACAGTTCAGTTCTTTAAAATGATACTTTGAAAGTAAGGTTGTTTTTTTTTTTAGAAAAGGAAAGTGCAACACTTGTTCAAACTTGTTAAAACAATGTCAAGAAAATCATCTTAGAATACCGATAAGTTGAAGTGATTGTTATATGCATAAAAAGTTACATATGTATACCATATGATTGTTTGCTTTGGCATGAAAAGAAAAAAAAAGTTATCCTTTTTATTTCTCCTTATTAAAGTTCTAAAATATAAAATTTAATTTTGGGAGTATGATGAATTAAACAAATTACAATGGTTGGCATTTCTTTTGTAGATTCTCAATGAAATTGCCCAGCACAAAATTAAAATCTATGAGTTCCCAGAGTGTGATGATGAAGAGGAAACAAGAGTCCAGAAGAAATTAAGGGTACGTTATATTAAGCTGAAATAAAAAGATATAATTACAAAGGGATATTCATTTTCAAGGGCAAAATTGGGTCAGAACGGGTGTACCTATACATTTTGAAATTCATGTATAACAAACAGGGAAGGTTATACATAGCATTGTATTTCATACCAATTGACATTTGGTGACTGAAGAGTAAAAAAAAATGGGTTTTTCACGTAATATATTTAGGTTACGAGAAGGAAATATGCAGTGTGGGAAGGAAATATTAGATCAGAGTTGTATGTGGATATTATATGGTATCAACAGTATTGAATTACATCTTAATATGTGTTAGCATTGCCCCATGCATGCACTCTGTGGCATATTCAAATGTTTTATTTAGAAATGAACTAATAATTAACACAAATCATTTTCCAATTTGTCATTGTACACGTACAAAGGGAAGTAATCACAATAGAAAAATGATCCTACACGAAGCATTGGCCCCCCAAAAAATAAAAAATTCCAAATTTCAAATACCAGTAGTTGAAATGAACTCTTAATTTAAAAACATAAATTATTGTTATTCAAAAATGTTTATTTTATTTTTTTAATTTTAGGATCGAGTACCCTTTGCAGTTGTAGGCAGCAATCGTGTTATTGAAGCTGGAGGAAAGAAAGTCAGGGGGAGACAATATCCTTGGGGGATTGTGGAAGGTAAGAGGAATCCGGCATTGTGTTTTTTCCTTCCTCAAGATGACCTCTGAAATACCAGTGCAGTGTTTGCAAACTCTTTTCAAAGTTTAATAGATAAGAAATACAAATGTACATTTACATTCAAGCTTTAGATTTACATTCAAGCTTTAGAATTGCAATTTAAAATACTCTTAAACTAAAACTGTGTATGTTTATTTTTCAGTTGAAAACTTGGAACACAATGACTTCATAGCCTTACGGAACATGATCATTAGGTATATTTAGCTTTTCAAGTACTGCAATTGAATAAAAGTAGTGAATGAAATAACTTTCAGAAATATCTCAAGTTAACAATGAAATGAAATTAAAAACTTAGTTAAAAATTTTGACTATAAAAATACAGATGAAAAGAAAATTCAGTTTTCTCACATCTTGCGTAACCAAAAACAAACTAAGGTCTCTCTTTGATTTACAGGACACATATGCAAGACTTAAAAGATGTCACCAACAATGTTCATTATGAAAACTTCCGGTATAACAAATTGGCACCTTCTTCAGCTGACGGCAACAAAATCAAACCAGGGTCACTATCAAAGTAAGGCTGGCTTTTCAATTTTAGAGAAGATTAAAGTAGACTAACTAGTAACACTTCCAATTAGAAATAAGCATGACTTTAGATTCCTGAATATACACGAGGAATTAGTTACCGTGTAATTTTGCTAGAAGCACCACTCGCTCAATAGAATTACTCGCTTTAATTTTTATGGTGCTGAAATCATTGTTGATTCTCTTTACCAATCATCCACTCTCGAATTATTGTTCTTACGATTTCGGGATAATAAGCAGTAACAAAAAATAAGGAATCTACAGTACTCAACATGCAACGTGAATGAATTGATAATTTATGTATGGAGTGTTTGTATGAAGACATAACATTTTTGGCAAAAATGTCCACACGTTTTATACTTTGACATATTTTTAACATTCTTTGGTTTTACTTAGGGGAGTGGATAAAATCTGACAAGCATATCTTTGATTTTATTAAAATAAGGCTTCAGAAAGCTTACATAGGAATCTTTCTTTCATACAGAGACCCTCTATCACAAATGGCTGAGGAGAAGAAGGAGCATGACAACAAAATGAAGAAGATGGAGGCTGAGATGGAACAAGTGTTTGAGATGAAGGTCCAGGAGAAACAATCAAAGCTCAAGGAGTCTGAGGCAGATGTGAGTGAGATTTTATATATTTATATAAATTATTGTTCCACCTGTGTATACAGGGAAGAGAGGTGAGTAGGAGTTTAGATTATATATGTAATCTTGGCTTCTGTACAGATTGGAGATAATATTAAAATGTTTAGAAAAAAAATATCTGGATTTATAGCTGACCTCAAATGAAACTTAGTTCCAGTTAAAAATTTTTAATATAATTTTTCTGCTGCTAGGTATTGAGACCTTTATGTAAATATTTATGAGTTGATGGTAGGCTTGATATCTATTTTATGTAGCAGAAGCTATGCATATTATAACATTATTGTCTTATGTTAACATTAAGGCACCCAAAGTGGAAAGCATAAAGATAAATATATATCTTCTACTTTTACATGTATGTCATTCATTAAGCTTATATTATTTTCAACATAGTATCAGCATTGGCAATCTGTTCAGTATTTTTGGAAAGTTATTGATGTTTGATTTTATTGTCTGTAGCTTCAAAGGCGAGCAGAGCACATGAAGAAGAGCTTAGAGCAGCAACAGAAAGAGCTTAAAATGGAAAGCATTTACAGTGGGAGGAATCAGGGTTTACTTAAAGATTTTAAAGTGCCAAAATTGTTTGAATAATTTGCTGTTGAGCATTTGTACTATATCTACTTCTTTATTGATATCCATGTTTTTTATTGATTTCGATGTTTGATTTTATTGTCTGTAGCTTCAAAGGCGAGCATTTTCTTCGCAACCATTGCACATACTTAAATGAAATTTGGTATACTGATATATTACATGAATATCTATGTCAAGTTCAACAGAAAGAGCTCGATGAGAAATGCCCCTTGAAAGCATTATTTACAGTTTCCGTTCATTTTCTTTGCAACCATTGCACATACTGAAATGTAATTTAGTATACAGATTTATCAGAGGTATTTCTAGATCAATTTCTGTTTTGGGTATGATTGCACCATTTTTGACAGAGTTATGTCATTAAAGAGTCCAATTATTTGTCTAGTTTCCTCCATTTTCTTTGAAGTGCCTTCTAAATTGTATACAGATTTATAATTTGCTTGTTGAAGCATTTGTACTATATTTTTGACTTACTTTATTGATAAATTCCAATTTTGATATTTTTTCTCTTGTTTCTTCATAGATTGCACACATTTTTGTGAAAAGCATTGAAATAAGATTTTTGTTTCGTAAGGTACATGTATTGATTCTTTCTTTTCAGTTCACATAAAAAGAACAAGAAGCACATATTCTAACATCAGAAGTGACATAAGAACATTCATAACCATTAATATAAAGACAGTACCATTTGGTCTGTGCCATAATTCTGGAGGGGGGAATACTGCTTGCTGATCGATGAATGTGGAAAATGACACGGTTATCCTAATTACAGTGAAGTCAAGGAACTATCACCCCAAAAGCACTGACCAAAGAAGCAAAACTGCACAGGCAATTCGCCAAAATATGTTAACTTTTATGTTTGAAACTAATGTCAAGTCATTAAATTTACCATTTTCACTTTTGTAAGAAATACCTTAAGATTTAAAAAATTCCAATTATGTTTTTTTTTTTGTAATTTTAATGAAGTGTTGAGTGTTTACTTTGCTGTAGCACATGTTTATATGAAGAGAAAAAAATGAATTATTATGAACATTTAAAAAAAAAACCTGTGTGTCAATGCTTCATATGTACATGTATTAACCATGTGTTATAATTTTTGCATGTTGTTTTCATAGAAAATGCTATTATTGGTGCAATTCAGAGGCAAAAGATCTGTACTTTTGTTGTAACTTTGTGTGAGTTTTTTTTTCTTCTGTAAAATGCCGTTGCTTAATGTCTTTGTTTGATACAAAGCAATACATTGTGTATAAAAAAGTATTGTAAAATGTCAGAGAGTCTTTTGCCAATAATTTCTCTGGCAGCTAGTTCAAATATCTCAAAATGCCGAAAGTAAATGAAAGGTTATAAGGTATAACACATAAGTAGGTAAGGGGGAGGGACCATAGATTGAGGGAATCCAATGTTTTGTATGTCTAGTCATGAAACCCCTCATTGTTTCCATTTTTTGGATGTTTGAAATTGATTCACACACCTTGATCACACACTTAGATTAGTTCAATATCATGTATACACCCTCCCCAAGGTGTGCAGTGAGGAAGCATTACTGCACTTCCGTGTCAGAAATCTAATTTCTCTTTTTCTTTTTTATTTTTCTAGTATGCACTGCAAAACGACTCGGATCTTACATACATGTACAGTTGAAAGTGTCGAAACAGCACTGATCATACCAAATCTATGCATGCATTGCAAAATTATGTCGGCTGAAATCAGTTTTATATCAACTTATTTTACATTTATAATTTTTTTTTTTGCTCATTGTATGAATGTATAATGTACTTGTGTATGACATATACCATAGTAATTTATTATCGCCATATATAAGTCCAGTTCCCACATCATTATATGAATCCACAACTTATGAAGTTCACAAAATTATTGTACGCATTTCACAAGTTCCCTATTTTATAACTTTTTCTTAGAATATACAGTACATTAAATTCCGTATGAAGTTTAGAAGTTAAAAATAATATAGAATTGTCATGAGAACATTGAATCTTTATTTTCTCCCAAGTAAATTTTTGTTCACAGGAATCTTGCATATATAAGTACTATCTTTTTCCCAGATAACTATTGAAAGTTTTTTCCCCTTAAAATATTATGTTTACTGTTAAATTTAAATCAAGCAATCTCATTTAATCTAAGATTTTACTTATTTCATACCAATTAAGTATTGTTGTGCATATTTATTGTGTACTTTTTTTTACAACTATTCATTAATAATTAACTTAGAATTTACAAAATGGAAACAATAAATGTTTTATACATGTAATTTCTTTTTGATGGTTTATTTCCTTAAAATAATCAGTGTTTTGTGCAGAAATGTTGGCAAGTTCAATATAACAAAAAGAGTGGTGCTGATGTACTGTGGGATGAAGATATTGTTTCGAGGGTGGTATAATTGGCTTGGACAACAATATTGAGCTAAAGCAGATGGATAACAAAGCAGAGCTAGGTTTAGAGTTGCACTGATAGACAACCGTATTGAGCTAGATTTAGAATGGTACAAGTGGAATACGGTTTTGAGCTAGGTTTAGAGTGACACAGATGAACAACAATATTGAGCTAGGATTAGAATTACATAGATGGACAACAATATTGAGCTAGGTTTAGAGTGTACAGATGGACAACAGTATCAAGCTAGGTTTAGAGTGACACAGATGGACAACAATATTGAGCTAGGTTTAGGGTGTACAGATGGACAGCTGTATCAAGCAAGGTTTAGAGTGTACATATAGACAACAATATTGAGCTAGGTCTAGGGTGTACAGATGGACAACAATATTGAGCTAGGTTTAGAGTGACACAGATGGACAACAATATTGAGCTAGGTTTAGAGTGACACAGATGGACAACAATATTGAGCTAGGTCTAGGGTGCACAGATGGACAACAATATTGAGTTAGGTTCAGGGTGTACAGTTGGACAACAATATTGAGCTAGGTTTAGGTTGTACAGATGGACAACAATATCAAGCTAGGTTTAGAGTGATACAGATGGACAACAATATTGAGCTAGGTTTAGGTTGTACAGATGGACAACAATATCAAGCTAGGTTTAGAGTGACACAGATGTATTAGGGTGTAGAGGAGCACATATAGTTCTCCATCATAGATATTGGGGTTTGGGTTAATGCATATGACCATTTGGACAACCACGAGGGTTGATCCAAAAGTTCGTGGAATTTTTTCATATTTCATATATTTTTAAGTGGAATGGGTTGAAAATTACAAATGAAAATATAGACACTTGATGAAAATTTTAAATTGAAAAACAGTTAAAATATCTTTGATAGGAACTCTATGGCAGTTGCCATAGAAACGGTTGCTTGGAAATGCGGGGGAGACATTAACGTATTTATTTTAATTTTAATTCTTAATACGTGGAATGAGATTTAAACCGGCCTATGTGGTATATAAAACGAAAATTATGTCATTATTACGATTGTTTGATCTTATATTATATCAATATTAATGCATTATGAGTCTATATTATGAATATGCCTGTTGTTTGCTTTCATCAAATCACGATAAAATTTTAGAAAGAAATTCCACGAACTTTTGGATCAACCCTCCTATTTGTACAGATCCCATGGCCTCCCGAACAAAGGTTTAGAAGTTGAGGGTTGAACAGAAGGTCCCTCGAACAGAAGTGTTGGGGTTAAGGGTGGTGCGGATCTCATTTGGACAGGGGTATTGGGATTTATGATGATATACAGAGTCTTCCTAACAAGGATATTGGACAAGGGCTGTCCATTGTTTTGCGTAGAAGTAGAGTGGAAAATTCAAATTGTCAAGGAATTAACAAATGTGAAAAAAAAATTGCAATCACCTCACAGAGACTGTGGTCATTTTTTTAAAAAGTCAAACTACAACGTAAAGACTTGGAATTACTAGTAATAAAGGTTCTTGTCAAAATGAAAACAAGTGTGCGATATAAAAGTCCAATCAACAACATTCAAACTTTTTTAAAAGTACAGTGTAGGTAAGACTCCATGGTTAAATTCAAAAGCTAAAATCTACTTATACTGAATGAAGGCCAAACGGAAGACACATGTGAAGTATGAAAACATCTGCAATAAAAAATCAAAATGTTTTGATTTGTCTAATTGTCTAATATACATGTACCACCTTATGTTGAACTCGACTCGCTTTGTTGGTGAACTCGACTCGCTTTGTTTGCCCGGTTTCGTTTCGATAAAAAAAGGTAAAAAAAAAAATCCTTCATAATATTAAACAATGAAATTAAATGATGCTAAGAATGACGTTTCAAGTTTTTTTCAATCCTGTTTTATATTATCATTACAATGGCATCCTTGCACGTGCTTATGGCATTCATTTTTTTAAAACAAAAATTATTTGTCACATTTTCCAACAGTCTTTTGCTTTAAGGTCGATTTTGCATATAAGTTATCTTTCTTAGAGTATTTCCTTCGTTTTGTATTGTACATTCTTTTACTCTATAATTATCTATTTGTGCTGTACATTTTTTAAAAATAATCTTTTTTTTTTAATTTGTATTCATTCTTCTTTTTTCCATTTTGATTTTCTCTTCAATTGGTTTAATCTTCTTTAATTTGTAATAACTGACTTATTACTTTATGTGTATACTTTGTGTGAATTCTGTAATAATTTTGATTTGTATATACTTTTCTTAAAAATATAGGAAGATACGGCGCTGTACACAAAGTAAATATTATTCGTTAATTAATTGAATTATATCATATTTATAACCCCCAAAACATGATCACCCTCGTTTAAACTTTTATTAATTAAAAAAGGCAAAGATAATGAACAGCAATCTACATCATAAATACAAATACTACAATTTTGTGAACAAGACATAAAGGAGGATAAAATTCCAGAGGTAGGATCGGGTGCCTTGATGGAGTTAGCTTCCCCTGTTGACTGAGCACACCCGCCGTGTGCCCCATATGTAGACGTAACATTCAATAGATAATTTTCGATAGGCCAGAATTTAGCGAGAGTTATTTCCCGTTGACCGCCATACTGGATCCAAAATGCTCATATTCCTTCATTGTTCAACCAATTTAAAATTTTTATATTTGCTATTTTTAATTAAAAATCATTATTTTTCTGAAGTATATAAATTTCTGGAACCCTCCTTTATTTAAAGAAAATTATTTATTAAAGATTTTCCACCAAATATTTCAGACAAAGAGGGAAAATCACCGAGTCGACCTCCAATACCGGCGACCGTCAGGGAGGTAACTTTCGCTAAATTCATGCCTATTGAAAATTATGTATAGCCAAAATTTGAATGGCACATCAGACCCAATGATATGTTATATTCCTAATATATAAAATGTTATTAAAACGCCCAAACACTTTCCAAAATGCTGACTTTAAATGAGGTTGTAAAAATCTCTGTAACATCAACTTATGTGAGGGTAGACTGCCCCTGTTTAAAAATATATCGTACGTAGTATGCTCTTCATTAGCGAATGTTGAGACATGGGCACTATTTGCAGCTGATAGTGGAATAATCCTACATAAATATAAGGAATGTTGACGATGGATGACAGTTATAAATGTTATTCCTTTTATATTATATTTGATAATCATGCGTTGACTTCTGGTATTTGAAGAACAT